CTGTTAGCCCTGAAAAAAAAATAAATTAACATGGAGTGACTGACAGGCAGTTGAAGGTTCAGAGCCTCAAAAGGACACAGACAAAAATCAAAGGAAAGTGAGGAACAGGGCTGAGTGATTTTCCCAGGGATGGCACAGGTAGGGCAGGATTCCTGACAGCCAGGTTGTTTCTGGTAGATTTGCCACTGCTCAGGCTACCCTCTGTCCATGCCCTGAAACTCTTGGAAAAGAACCATGAGAAGAGCAGGGGGCTGGCAGGCAGGAGAGGCCAGGGCTTCTCCTGTGTATCTTCGGATGCAGCTCAGCCAGTATCACATCACGCTGGGCTAGAAATCACATTCACTTCAGTTCCCAAGATAAAGCCGCATATAATATCTCAGTAATTTTCCATCCATCCATTCAGTCTCATACACTCAGCATTTACTATCATCAACTTTATTGTCTCTTCCAATGCAAACAGCCCTGCAGCACAGCCTTTATCTTCCCCTCCTTATCTCCAGGCTTCCAGGCTAGGGGAGCCCTCTGGAAAAAGTGAGATTTTTCTCAAAGAGAAACATGATTGCAGGCAGTTAACTTCAGATAGACTCTACTACTTCTCACTTCTGTGGTGGAGAGGCAACCCTGTTAGGAGTCCATGTATTTAAGTGGAATATTTCAACAGCTGTGAAAAACCTCATCCTACTACTGAAAGTGAGAGAGATTCAGATGGCTCCAGCCAGCAGAAACCAGGGAAGCTGCATGCCCTGACAAAATGGGGGCATTTGTTTGGGGCAGGGCATTTTGTCAGGAATTTTCCCGAGTCAGAAGCTCCCTTCCTCATGGTGCTGCATTCACCAGCAATCGGGACATGGGAGGGGTACCTCACATTTTTTTCCTGATAGAAGTAGACTCCAGGGCACATGAAGCTGGGAAACATTTTGGGAGGATGCAGGGAAACAGAGCAGATGCTCCTCCAGACCATTGCTGGTGCCATGAGGGCTCAGGGAAGGATGCAGGCACTGCCAGGCTCAGAGCAAGACTCGTGGGGCGTGAGGATCAGGGAACAGAATTTGTACTGTTCTGCATGCTGGAAATTGTATCCACTTGGTTCAGTTTCTTTAAAAAGTCGCTCAAAAGAATTTGATGAAGCTGGAAGAAGCCTTGACTTGAAAGAGGAAGTGTGGATTGAAATCCTAAATGCTTTCAATACTCTAAGTCCACATGTGAAGCATGATTTAAACCGAGATATGTATTTGTTGCCTAACTCAAATGATTGCAGTGACAGTTACATTAACCTCTCTGGCACCAGAGAGATCACATCCCTCTAATACCAGCTCTAAACAACAAAATACATGCCAGTTGAAAAGTTAACACACAACTGGCATTATCTTTTTTTTTCTCCAGACTTTGCCAAGATAGTCTTTTCTTATGAAGATTTGATCCTGCTCAATTTAGGGGGAAAAAAAAAAATCAATTCTCTGAGTCTGAATCCCAGCACTTGGCAAGCTGCACCCTGGCGAGTACTTCTCGAAGCAGGACACGTCTTGTTCTCTGGAAAAGCTTAAAACCCAACACCTCGGGGTGCATTATTGCAGGAACTTTTTATCACGAGGGAGCAGTTTCCTGAAATCACACGGTGAAAGGGGTGTGGGAAGGTATGGAGTCTTTTTTCCATTCTGCCCTGGTGGAAACACCTTCTACAGAAGCAAGATTACTCACAGGCAGGTTAGACTTATGCTGCAGCTTTCTTGTTCTGTGGTCACATAGCATCACGAACCACAGCTGAAGTCTGGCCTGTTTGGAGGTCAGTGGAAGTGAACCACCAGGGATTCTGTTGTAAGGAACATTTTGACCAGTTGTTATATTTGGAAAGGCCAAGATTAAGCAGAGCTTGAAGACCGAGTACATCCTCAAGGTCTGGAGTGCAGCAGGACCTCTAGGACAGGATCCCCTGAAAGCAGGAATGCCATAATACAGTGCTGAGGGGTGCTATATAAATATGTCATTTCCAGTGACTCACTCTTCCCACAGATTCTTGTCTGTGCCGTGTTGCTATTAGTGTTAGAAGCAATTTGTGGGTGAGACGGTGTTTCACCAAGGACAATATCTGTGATTCAACACTTTCTCCCATCCCACTCATTTTCAGAGCACCTAAAAGAGATGCTGGGGTAGGAGACACATTTCATAGCTCCTCCACATTCAGCTGGAGGCTGAATTCTCACTTCCCTGACCCAAACCTTTTTGCTTTATCAGTACTGTGGCTCTGCCTGGGAGCTCCAGCTGACTGAAGCTCAGGTGGTGGCTGTGCTGGGTGCTGTACACAAACGTGCCCCTGGCATCCCCCTGGCGAGAGCAGGCACCAGGCTAATGAATATTTGCCATCTTCTCCTCTCTCTATCACACCCCCTCACACACATCGCCTATTTTTGGAGTAAACATCCCCATTGCTTGTTCCCCACACGCCAAAAGGGCCCTACCAAAATTGCCTGACTTTGTGGCTCCGGATGAAGCTGTTGCTCTGAGCAAGTACAGACAGACAGAGCGATTGCCATAGCAACAGAAGTTGTGTGTGAAATCCCTGGGAACCAGTCCTCTTCCTCCTCCTCTTCCCCCACCCATTCAGGTCCCTTTTCACATTTCTTTCCTCTTTTTTTTTTCCCCCAAGGTGCTAGTGCCAATTCATTCCTTGTGGTGAACACCTAGGGAGATGCTTTGAAAGCCGGGTTACATATCATGCCACCAATTACCGCAGGGGCAGGACAACTTTGTGGAGCATCATATTGGAAAAACACACCCTGCTGGGCCTTGAGAAAGTCTTAATAAGGAGAATTGAAAGAGGGCAGGCAGTGGGAGGGTTGTTGCTTGCATTTAGGACCTCAGGGGCATATGCCAAATTTGTTCCTGATCAGATCTGCGCTGAACTATTTACTTTTTGAGATGCTAAGTCAACAGATGTGCATCAAAACAAATTAAAACCATTTAACATCAAGCTGCTAATGGCTAGAACCACACAAAATAATGCAGGTTATTAACCCCATAATAAGGAGCTCATTAAAATGGGAATTGCCAATTAGGTTGCTTAGGAGTTCCATTAGGAGAAATACAAGCAACAGAAAAACCACTGAATATTTGCCAGTAGCTGGGTGCAACACACTGTGAAGACTGATGGTCAGGGAGATGTGTCCAACTGGTGCAGACTGGAAGCATTGCCAAGGGCTACAGCACAACCAAACTGTCTTAAACTATAACAGGATAAAGTTCAAATGTTTCATGAACTCAACTCAGACCTCGATGAGGTGCATTTTATGCAAGGAGCGCTGGAAGTTTCATTGTTGGTAAGGGTTAAGGATACCAGTGCTACCACTCACATTTGTGTTTGTATTAACATTTAACTTCCCTTGGCAAGCAGTGCTTCCTTCAGGTCAAAAGGGGCGTTTTTAAACACCCTTTGGACGTGATGATCAGCCCAAAACTTACCAAAAGCTTTTTATGTTGTAATCTCTGGCAAGACAGACATTAAATTGGACGGCTATAGGCAGCATGACCTTGCACATAGATATCCCCAAACAGCTTTGGAGAAGAGTTTTATTACTCTACTCTGTGCTCTGCATCTTACTATTTCTCACAGCTCTCTCTAAGTTTTTAGCTTATTCTTCCTAGGTACTGGCATTTTTATGTCATCTGGAGTGAGCTGGCAGCCTCTCAGAGCTTGCTTTGTTTTATATATGTAAAAATATATTTTCCCCGACATACTGAAAATGACATGCACAAGAGAGACCTTTAAGCTTTATTTTGTTGCTGTATAAAAGTAGCACAATAACGTCCTCATGTTGAAATCCTCATTTCCCAAATGGCATCCGTCTTGCTTTCCCAATCACACTTGAGCAGATTTCAGATATCACAGAATCACAGAATATGCTGAGTTGGAAAGGACCCACAAGGATCATCGAGTCCAACTCAGCCCTGCACAGCACCAAGAATCACACCATGTGCCTGAGAGTATCACTCACACATTTTACTCTCACTAAACCAGATTTGAGCTGAATGTTCCTAAACAGGCTTTTAGACATATTAGGAATGAGACAAACATTTAAATGTTTCTGACTTTAAAAAAGGAAAATTCTTATTTTCCCTTCTGAAGTCAGAGAAAGCCCTAAAGTGTCAGGTGCTTCATAATGTGAGAGAAGGAAGAAGGGAGCAGGTGTGATGCCTGAGTGCACAAGGAGGTTTTTGTGGCAGACATAGTGTCCTGAAGCAGCCTGAAGGCATCCAAAAGGGGCACTTTTTCCTCAGGAAAGGATCCAGCACTGACCCTGGGAGGACACAGCTGTGATAACCCCATTCTGGGGCACACCTGAAGGGTCCTACACCACCCACACCTATACCTAAGGGCGGGGAATAAGAATTGCTGTCAACCTAAATGCTAGTCCTCCCACAAGGACTGAACTTCCAGAAGGTACATTTAGTCAGGTAAGTCACCTTCCACTTTTGACAACACTCATCTTTATCCATGCTTGTCTTTCCCCCCCGAGAGAAATGGGAAATCTCTGCAGTGCCAAGCTCAATAGCATGTCAGGATATATCCCACTGTGGATTTATACTGCACTGCCCAGTGCTGGGGTGAGCTTAGCTGGGAAAGTGGATTTTGCTGCACTGCAATGCCAACCCTGGAGCTGACACATCCTTTGGAAAGCTTCATTCCAGCCCCTCCTTAGGCCAGCTTGCAGTCCCTGTGGAAAGCACTGCTCATGGTGCTTGGCTTCACTCATGGTACCAACAGCACCAGGGGAAAATGAACCCACGGTGGGGGAGAGCACAGGAGTTAACTGCTCCTTCCCACAGCATCATTAGTTCCTGGGAGGGTGTGGAGATGAGACACCACACAAAGGACCACCAGCATGTGGCAACTCCAGGCAAGTACAAAGCTCTGCCATATCAGGGCTTTACATGAGCTCTTGAGAACAATGTGTGTGTACTTCTATTTTGGTATAACTAGACTGGCACTTCAAGGGGAAGAATTATGTGAGCATGTCAGTAATACCTTTACAAAATCCAAGGTGAGCATTTGAAAGTTATTTAATAGGTAAAACTGTGCTTTGAACAGTCAGCAAATCAAGGTCATCTCAGTCAACAAAACCACAAAGAACAGCAAAAGTGCTAAATCAGTACGATCATATATTTACAGTGAATAATTTAAGTAGCTCCAGAGTTGAAACCAAGAAGATTTTCTTCAATGCTTTGAATTTAGCTCTGTTTTCAGAACCACTTAAAATGGTAAATTATGTTATTTTATCCCACTGGTCTTATGGAAACTCAGTCTCTCTTGTCATGACTTCATAAGGGATATTTGCCTTAAAGTTTGAGCAGGGACAGGTCCTGTTCTCTTTCATGTCTTCCAAGATGTTAACTTTTGCACATGTGCTTACTGAAGACAGAAACTGAGATAAAACAGGTTTTTCTAGCATTGTTCGAGAAAGCATTAAAAGATGTTAAGTATATTTAAAATTAGAACTGTGCTGTAATCTCAGCTGGTATAGACTGACATATTTCCGATGGTATAATGGATCTATGCCAAATTACATCAGCTGGCCACAGCATAAGATGTTAAAACCAACTGGAAAACTCATCTGATATTTAAAAGCAACATATGGGAGCAGCAGAGACTTCAAGAAGATACTTCATTTAGGATATTTTGAAAACAGAGTATGTCCTACTGTAGTATGGAAGGAGGTGTATTAACTTGTATCTATGTCCTGTGGGCAGTAATTAAAATTTAAATCTTATTAATATTGCTCCACATCTTACTTAACAGTATTTTTCCTGGTCTTCTGGGGTAAATGAGTAGAAAGTGATGACGCATTGTCACATGTGTGTTTAAGTAAAACAAATTTTAAATGAATGAACAAAAATGCTGACCCTGGCAGGACTTGCTTTTGCAAAATGCATATATTAGAGAGAGTCTATTTACAAGGGCATGTAGTTACAGGACAAGGGGGAATGGACTCAAACTGAAAAAGAATAGGTTTAAATTAGATATTAGGAAGAAAATCTTCCCTGTGAGGGTGCTGAGGCCCTGGCACAGGTAGTTCAGAGAAGCTGTGGATGCCCCATCCCTGGGAGTGTTCAAAGCCAGGCTGGATGGGGCTTGGAGCAACCTGGTCTGGTGGAAGGTGCCTCTGCCCATGGCAAAAGAATTGAAACTGAGTGATCTTTAATGTCCCTTCCAACCCTGGCTGTTCTATGATTCTATGAGTCTATGACAAGGAAGAGACTTAGATAACCCCCAGATTTGAAGAAATCAGTGCACAGAGGCTGTGCTTGGCAAAAACAGCATGAACACTGTGAATAGTCCTATCTCCCTGAATATCTTCATCACATCCCTATTCAGCAAAGTAACCTCAAGAGAGTATCAATATAACCTGGACTCTCTGCTGAGCCAGGATCTGTCTCACCTTTGGTTTACACAGGAGTTCACCTGCAAGCCTGTCGATGCTGTTTGTAGAGCAGACACCATGGGAGGATGACACACATGGGAAAGGAGCCTGCTTTCTCACTCTCCTTGGCAGCAGGTTGAAGAGCATAGTGCATATTTTGTAGTGATTCAGCATTTGAACACCTAAAGAAAAAGATAAATCAGTATTTCCAATGCTGTTTCCTTTATGTCTTTCAAATCCTTTAAAGAAGATGCAGTGGTAAAAGCTTTATTGTAAAGATCAGTGTAATCTGTAAATGAAAAGTACAGCTGATTGTTCTCATAAAATACAAGCTTGTTATTTCTATAGGGTTTACAAAGAAGAGTTAAATAGTTCCCATGAAAAATTCAGATGGTTCATAATATTAAAGGGTAAATTGTCAATGGAAGTAATGTTGATGTAGATCAACGTTTGGGATAAATTTTCACTTGGCTGAAGATCTCATGCTTTAGCAATATACTTTGGTCTTTGCATTAAACCCACAGACCTGCTCTGAAACCCAGAGATTTCAAGGTGCTCTGTGTTAGGTCACTTAACAACTTGAGAACAGAAACAGAAAGGGACATGTATCAAACATAAATCAAAAGTGGCATCAATACTGCCAAGAACTCCTGGTTTGCAAGTACTGATACCTCCCTTTCCACCCCACTGATTAAAATAAACTCATGCAGGCATGGATAAGAAACACTAAAATTGAAATATTAAAATCTGCTTTCCTATTAGCTGGTGAGAGGGGATGGAGAATTTGTCTCAGAGATGTTTGCAACTCAGCTCCTGCAGAGGGCTGAATGCAAGGGCACAGTAGATACCTAAGCAAGGACTTCAGGCTTTAATTTTGTACGAACCTGAAATCTGAGTATGACCTGGTGGGAATGGTTTGTGTGGAAGGATGTAATCACTCTCAGACTGCTCCCTGGTAAGTGCAAACATTCCAGGGGAACTGATCACACTGAAGCTGGTGGGTGCAGGGACAGTTGTGTGTGAAGCCCTTTGCACTCTGCAGAGCCTTTTTTTCATAACCAGATTGTCTCACTGTGGTAGGTTCTCCAGCAGGAAGGGTTAATTGCCTGGTTGGCAACACTGGTGATTCTCCAGGTTCTGACAACAGCCATAGAAGAGCTGTTGAAGAATTGCTCTGCAGAGTTGTTTCTCCAATGACTGTGGTGATGAACATAGATTAAGCTTCTGAATTTCAAGCATCTGAAATTGTGTGAGATTTCTTCAGGCCTGAATGTGGCCCTGAGCGTCCTCCAGGCAGCAGAACCTGCTCACCATCACCACAGCCCCGACTCAGGCTCACAGCACACAAATTCTACATTTTTAGCCTTAAATGGTGAAAACCCAGTGAAGTCTAAAGGCAAATCATATGCATTATGTACAACAAAATGACTGGTTTATGCCATTATGTTTTGATTTCCTCAGGAAAACTAGGACAATTAAAGGCAGGAAGGAAGATCATAAATTTGAAAGGAGACATGGGAATCACCACTCACCTGAATAGGAAGCTTTAAATAGTCTACCATTGACTCATCACAATTTGGAAACACTATAGCTTACACTTTTACTCTTGCCTACAGAACACAGAATAGATATGACACTCATGAATTAAAATAGACTTATGGTAATCAGTGCCAAAACAGTTCAAATACCTGTGTTAGTTTTTATTATATGTACTAGCCTTTCATGGTGTACAGTGAATAATAGCTAGTTTTGGGAACCATCATGTGAAAAGGAGGCATTAGTCTTCAGCCTTTCAGCCACAATAAATTCTCCATCACAAGACTTGGTTGCTTACTAAACCACTCAGCCTGCAACACATTGCCCACACCTAGACAGAAAAATATGGCTCTTTAAACGAGAGAGACAGACACATGTAATATCTAGTTAACTGTGCTCCATAACTGCAGTTTTCTGTGATAGTCTTCCTTTGTGTGAAGGAATATGTTGTGACTGCTGAAATTATTATAAACATCAATAATGTGTAAGTCCTTAATCAAGATGAGGTACTCCACTGTACAAGAGGTTGTGCATCTTTATATTAAATCTTCTCCATGTCTCTTCCCATTATTTAATAGATAAAATAGATGAAATGTGGAGAAAAGTAATATTATCCTTATCTCCTGCTAGTGAACTGTAATACATAGGAAGATTGAGTAACTTGGGTTCTGGAAAGCTGGGCTAGGACCAGGAACTGACCCTAGACTACTTGTCCTATCATCTCAGCCAGAAGCCTCCCCTTCCCCTCATTTATTGGAAGGCATCAAAATGGAGTGCAGTTTGAAGATTAGACAATGAAACATTTCCTTTGGAAAAATTTCTTTGAAAATTTTATTTTCCTTTAAAATTAATTTTGGGTCCTCGATTACAAGTCTTAAATCCAACAATTGTTCACATATCTGCACATTCCCATTGTGACTGTTCCTCTGAAACAATACTTAGTCAAGCACTACATTGCCCAGTCAGAGTAGGATCCCTGGAGACTTGGAACACCCCTTAAAAACTATTTTCAACAGCTTGTTGCACATGTATGGCTTTTCCCTGACAACCAGGCTCAAAAAGCAGATAATTCAGCCAGGATTTGAGCAAGATGGTTCCTTACTGTGGCTTCTGTGCAGCCAACACACACTTCTGAAACCAGCACAGTAACCACAGATGAGCAGATCCCAAATATTTTGATAGACAGAGCCCCATAAAACATCAAGTTAGAAACTCAGCAGCCCACAGACAGCCACGACTTCAGTGGCTGCCTCAACCTGTATCCAAGCACCAACCCACAGGAGCCAAGTGGTGGGAGGGAGTTTCTCATCCCCTTCCTCCAGAGCTTCCGTTGCTGTTGCCCCAGTTGCTGTCACGGGCACTCGAGTGATGCTGTGTGGTTCTGATGTGCTGTCACCCTCCCAAACACGTGGGTGGATTTCACATTGCTCATGTGTGGCGAAAGCCTCTCCACTGAGAAGAATTGCCAGGAATTCCTTGGCCTGCTGTGAGCAGCACTGCCAGAGCTGCGAGGTGAAGAGCTGCCACCTGTGGTGAAGATCAGATAGGAACGAGGAGTGTCTGCTGTGTCTCTGCTGGGTGCAAATTCAAGAACGGAGGGTCTGCTGCAGACACTCTGATGTGAGGTCCCAAAAAACCCCTGTTAATAAGGGCTTAGAGGTGATGTGTGTGAAAACAAAGAATTTGCTAGTTGCCATGCACATTTTGAAATTTCTGGATCATAATTTGCACTGTGAATTCCAGCTGGATGTCAGTGGGCAGACAACACAGAGAAATGGGAACATTGGTGGAACAAGTGGTCTAGTAGTTTTGTAAGAAAATCAGTGAATTTCCCAATAAGTCTTTTATATTTTCCAGTTTGCTTGGTATTTTCAAGTGTAGCATTAATCTCCTGTCTGTGGTAAAACTCTAGTTGAGGTTGTGAGCTAACAGGAGTTAAGTCCTTGAGACATGGCAGTGTAGCATATCTTTCTCACAGCTCCCACTCTGGAGATCCATAATACTACCCCATGGATATCAAAAGGAAGGTGAGATAAATCTCTCCTCTGGCCCACATTAATTAGTCTCCTATAAAAAGGAATAAATAGCACCACTGCAGAGGACATCTGCAGTCCTTGTGCTGGGACTGGCCTTCTCCATGTGATAATTAATGTCCTTTTCTTTACCTGCCTGATGCTTGCCTTGCCAGTCTCTGTCTGTACACATCTGGAGTATTTAACCCCGTGCCACTGGGATTTTCCACCTCATCTGCAGTGACATTCCTTCCACTATACTTTCCCCCTGGTATTCAAGCCCTGATGATTTTGCTTTCATTTTCACGTCTACTGGCTCAAGGAACATTGCTAAAAATGTGACTGTAAATGTGCTGTGATCCCAGAGGCAGCAAGATGGTGACTCTATGGAGGTGGAGAACCAAACACAGGACCTGAGTGTATGGTGGTTTTAAACCCTATTCTTTCCTGCTATGGAGTCATTTCCAAGCCAGTCCTGCTGGAGATCCAAGTCATCATGTCACTATCCCCTTCCCAGTCTGAAAGTGGCCATGTGTGTAGCCCCCACCATTGCTCACTGATGAGCCTTGTTTCTCTCTTCCTCTCAGCTGCATTCTTTCATGGTAAGGTTTGTGTCTGTATCTGACTATACCCTGCTGCCTTCCTTCGTTTGTTTTTTTTTTTTTCCAGGCTATGTATGTGTTTATTTCCTTTGATGTTCCTAGTAAATAGGTCATTCCTTCCACTCTCTTGTCTATAGCAGTTAATCTATACCATTACCTGTTTGCCTGCACTCTTCAGAAGGCCCTGCCCCAAGTGGTATTCCTATTAGCACTTCAAAAGAGGATTGATCTGGGTGTTTTTAATGAATTATCAACTGTAGCTTTCTATCAAATTAGCATCCAAGGAACTCTTCTGGATTACTCCTCTCCACAGCCTCTGGGGTTACTGCTTTGACCTCTCCTTAGTGAGCAATGTTACCCTGTGGATGCTTCTGCACTTAGATTTGTTCAATTTCTTGCTATTCCCACTATGTCCCACTTTTCATTTATTGAAATCCCTGTAGGATGGTGCTTCTAATAAATGATTTGCAATTCACACTCCAGCTGAGTGTTATCTTTGAATTTGATTGATGTATTTTTCTTCTTCCTCAGTGCTACTGCAGATGAATATAATGTCCAACTCAGCAGGAGTCCCTGAGGAGCCCAACATGGCAATATTTATAAGCATACTCCACTTTCTATTGTAGGGGCTGATTTTAATCTCTTTCATTGTTATTCTCTGTATCCACCCTAGATGTTTCTTGTAATGCTTTGGGCCCAGTCCAGCCACTGTTAAAGTCAACTGCATCTGCATGGAACCCTTTAGGGATGGATCAGGTTCTAAAGGAACATTATGTCTGAAGAAACTGACTAAAATTACTTACTGAAATCAAGAACCTTTCTGCAGAAGAGTTCTCTGTAAAACCAGCTGTCTTGTCAGCCAGTGAAACCCTTAAGGGTAAATTTACTGAGTGACTCAGGGGACCATATCCCTTCTTCCTCCCACCAGCATGTCCCACCCACTATGGTGCATACTCATCCCACATGATGGATAATCAGCTGCTTATCCTTCACTCTCCCCACCCAACACTTCCCACTCCCTGTGGTTTTCCTCCTCCCATCAACACTGTGAGTATAATCTGTCTGTGGAGTCTATCACTTGGGTGCAACTGCTCCTCCTAACGTGACCTCTCTATGTGTGTGACACATTTCTGTATTGTTCCTCCTGCAGAACAGCTAATAGTGCTTTCTGATTATTAGAGACCAAGTTTCACCTGCAAAGGATGCCAAGTTAATTGATCTGTAATTCCCCTTTTGGAAAAGAAGCGTGATGTTTTCCCTGTGCCAGTCACCAGGGCTT